CCCAAGTTATAGGCCCGTTGGTCGGGCCGGGCTCGGGCTCGGGCCTAGTATATTTTCATTAGTGACAAGTGAAAGCCCGGCCCGAGCCCGGCCCGACCCGGCCCATGAACAGGTCTACTCTCGGTGAAAGAGATCACTAGACGGCCCCTTTCCAGTTGCCTAAATTCGACTGGTCGCTAACAATTTCTCAAATTCCTAGATTTAATAGATTTAGGATAGCAATTTTAAAAATTCATAACTTTTAGTACAAAAATCTAAGTGTTCTAGGTACCGTTTCGAAGATTTCATTGAGAACTACAATTTAGAACCAAAATCTAGTAAAAATGTCACTGAAATGCTAGTTTCCGGCAGCCTAAAGTCAGCTAATGTCCCTTGTATTTCAATCTGAAATTTAACCTAGATTTCTTTCCACAAATCCAAAAGACACAAGGTTGGATCCATTGGGTTCCTAATGTCAAGAAGTCTCTATTAAAACTATTTTTTCTTACCAGAGATTGGTCAAAAGATGATCATCTAGAAAAAATTCCTAATTTTAAATTTGATACACAAGAAAACAAAAGGTGAAAATCTAAGGGAGAAAAAGACTTAGATTAAGAACAATTTGGTGCCAAAAATCACTGAGATAAAACCCTTCCTTGATTCTCCAATGGTGGATTGTCTTCATCTTCTCTTAGGCCTGAGAAAAGAGAAAAGAGGAAATAGTTCTTGCATTAGCTAAAGAAATTGGGTTTTCTTTTGTTAACATATTTTTCCTTTTTTCTAAGTAGTCCTCCCTTAAAAGAATTTGCAAACATGTTCTCCCATTATTAACCTTAGTATTTTTTTTTTCTTGGGTATTACATAGTGATCCACCCAACTTCAGTTTCAGCCATTAATGAGCTCATGACCTTCCTAAAAACTTATTTACTAAAAGACAAAGTAATAAGTTTTTTCAATTCAGCATTTTCAGTTATTATCAAATGACCCTTTAGGTTACCTCATCAAAATAATTTCTTTATGGA